TTACCATTTGTGTTAAAAATTTACATGCTATAATAAAAAAAAATCGATCTTAAAACCAATATATAATAAATCTGGTGCACAGAAAACTTTTACAGATTTAAAAAAAAATTGTTTTGCCAGAAACTAAAAAAAAGCTTTTAGCCATTTCCAATGGATTAATTTGCCTATTTGTTTTGCATTACCATTAATATTGTTTTGAAAGCAAAAAAAAAAGTGAATAAAAAAGTGTTTTATATTTAATATTTACGATGGCAGTTAAAGTTAAATCAATGGACATTTTTTAATTTATTTACAAACCACTTAATTTGTTGTTATTCTGTTTTAATTACATTCTGTATGCGGCGTTAAATATTAAATTAAAATGCTTGCGCCACCATTATGAGGGAATTTTGCTTTCAAGCTATGAAAGTCGTTGACATTAATGCATTCATGCTCTCAGATACAAAAAACAACAACAAAAAAGCTATATATATAACTCGCTCACATACATATATGCATACCAATTCATACAGGGTTGAAAAAATGTATTAAAAAATCTTCTTCCTTGAATTAATATCTGTAAATACCCTGTAGACTTAAAATGTATTGAAGATCTTTTTACAATTCACCAACTTTCTGTAGAAACTATTATTATTTAAATAATATTGTATGAACAAATAGAAAATTTAGCTACTCAATTTTTGTATTACATTCTTTTTGGAATATTGCGCTCGAGTCTTGTAAATCTCAATGGGTATCTAAAAATCGACGCCAGTACAATTTTTTTGCAACAAATATATAAAAATTAAACATATCAATTATTATTTATGATAATATTTGCATATATATTTTAGATAAAATATTTATATGCTTCATAATTTAATTCAACATATTTCAAGTTTCTTTCAAACTAATTAACAATATAAAGAAAAAACAAATATGTATATATTTTTCGAGTTTCAGCTAGAGGCCAAATAGATTACTGTACCGTAGCATAAAGCAGCCTTTACACACATTGCACCTCCATTAAATGGAAAGTAAACATATGAATATTTCAGAAAATGCAGACAAAAAATCAAAGTTATTTAAAAACTCAAGTTCCACAGTTTGGGGCCCACAGAACAGGATGCAGGAAGTATGGAGTGTACCGCTCAAGTGTGGCTTGTGATCCCATTTAATATAATTGATATTTGTATTAATATGAAGTTATTCTGATTTTTAATACGCTCACCAACTGTCATCGCCCAGTAAGGATTCATGCACACCACATGCTGACACTTGAGATCTCTGGCCTGGCAGATTGGTGAATCAAGTCGAAACGTGAGGGAGCCCAAGCTAAACTCATTGAGTTGCAACTGGTAACCCAATACCGAACATCGAGACAAAAGCAAATTGAGCAGAAAACCAGAAGGCGCCAGTGCCAGCCGCTGGTCAATCTTGAACCCTTGACCGGTATTTTGACACTTGCCGTTGGTAAACAACAGTTATTAAAGCTTATAATGAATATGAGCAACAGCACGAAGGTCACCCTCAAAAGTGAAGTCTTTCAAGTTTGACGAATCTTAAAGCAACTGCACAGACACCTCTTGGATTTTAGCTTCTGAGAAGCCTTTTTACCCTTGATGTAGGGATTGAGTATGTGTTTTCAAAACCTTATTAGCTATTATAGATCATACATAAGCTGACTGCTCTTGCTAGCCCTTTATATGAATTTTACTAGGAACAGAAAAGAGAAAGGAATGTAAAAGAGAAGGAATGTAAAAAGTAGAATACTTTGATGCAGTTTATAATGTCCAGTGTTTTGTAAATTCTTTATTTACTCCAGCTAACGAAGCTACTAGAAATAAATTTCAAATCATATGAAGCTGAGAAATTAATGATTAAGCTGCATTATTTGTTAAGTGAATTTATTTCTAAAAGAAAACTCAATGTTGTTGAATTTCTTTTTTCTGTTCTTTTGGCCACCGAGTGTCTGGTGGCCAGAAAGTTGTTTAGCCAGAGGACTGTTATTTTTAATTTCATTTCTCAAACGTCCCTTTGATATTTGCATGGTACATTAACACCCTCCTCATTTATCTCATCGGCTGACTGATGAACTGACGAACCCTGGGCTGAAAATTTGATATGCCTTCAGCCCTATTTTAGGTGGATGGCGAGTGCTTTAATTTTATTTGCACACAAATGCGCGTCAATATTAAGAAACATTTTGACGTCTCATCGTGTTGCTGTTTCTTTTTTGTGGCCAATGCAAATAACATTCATTATAAATTTTTAATTATATCACCGGACTAACGAGACCAGCCCAAAAGCCCCCAAAAAAAGTTTATTTTTTAACGTTTTTTCTTAGTAGCCAACCTTAAAAAATGTCAAGCCACATTTGACAATGATGAATCTGCTTTGGAAGCAACCCTCGATAAATTTTTTGTTTCTTCAGTACAGCCAGAGTAAAGAAAACTCAGCTGATAAACTGATTATGCACATCAATTGAGCTATACTCTTCATTTGGTGCGCTATGCGCTGCTCACGGCAATTGTTTTGTGAAAATTAAATTCCCTTTTGTGTCTCATATTGCATTGTAAGTAAGCCCCTCGAACAGACCAACAAACAGACCAGCCAGGAGCAAAGCTGCCTGGCTTTCTAATTACAAATAGGTAAAAAGGCAAATGCTTTGCGGCTTTGTGCACCTGCTGCCAAAGCAGATAGAAATTATGGAAGCTGTGATGGGGGCTGGGGGCTGGGAGCCGGTGCCCTAAATTGGCAAAGGTATTTGTTAAAATTATTATTGGACTTAATTATGCCAAGAGGGGAGGTAGCTCTAGAAACAAAGAATGTAATATGAACAGAAGCCAAACTAAGGCGAGTAAGCACTGAGAGGTAAACAATGCCTTCGAATTTCAAGAAAAGAAAAGCCAAGCAACTTTATGTGTAAGGCTCAATTCATGTACTTTAAATTACTTCTTTTCATATTAATTATTAATTATGAACGGCCAACTTTAATTGGAGACTTCTTTGCGAACCAGCAGAGCAACGGGAGTCCTCTTGACTCAATGTATACTTATGTATCTGATTTCACATTTAATAACTATTTCACAATGATTTCTTTTATAGTTTGGCTGGCAATATATTTGCCAATACCCAGTCCCATATTGAAGTGAATATTTGCTTATAGCCAATGTCAAGAGTAAATATATGCCACTAGCTGCGGTCCATTAGTGCTCTATGTGAGAATAAAAGATTTGCGGTTGCTGGACAATGGCCATCAAGAGGCTGAATAGACAGTGTTACTAGTATTATATTTCTCATTTATTTGGCTAACCTATTTTGCCGAGCAAATATTTAATCTGAGAGACCAGACTGGGTATAGGTTGCATAGAGCTCTGGCTGATATTAATCAAACAACAATAACAGACATTCTCATAGATGTTAACACCGATTGGGCCTCACTACATTCATACATATACAGATACGTATATACACACATACACATGCACACACTCGAAATCAGGGCTCTTTTCAGATTAACTATGCGCCTCCGTGCACACTCAGCACGCCTCTCGCATTGTGATACGCCTCTTGCCAACGCTAAGCAGCGTGTGAGGATTACTCTCCAGTACGTACAAGGATGGCATTCTTTTGCAGCCCCTAGCAGATAATGCTCGCATGTCCTTTGTATAATTGGTTGTGACACATGCGAATCACACTCACACACGCACACGCACACACACACATACCGAAACAGCTATTTATTTGCCGTCGGTTGTAGTTTTGACCCGGCTAAGAGTAAGCCTACAAATATTTTTACGTATTTCTTTTGGGTATTTAATGCTTCAATTAATTTTTGATTTAAGTGCTTCGCCATTTGTCTCAACTGTCAGCTGCCTCGTTTATATCACACACATTTAAAGCACAGCAGGTTGTCGCATTTCTATTGTAAAAGCAGCTTAACAATTGTGTAGCTTAGGCAATAATCAGCGAAACGATGGCAAAGTAGTTCGTAAAGCAAAATACCTGAACAAAAGCCAGCAACAATAAGCAATTGTATTGCAAACATATAGATATTATATAGCAAGTCTATAGGAGTTTCTTAATAATGAACAATTATTTGTTCTGATATATTTATATAATATACGCATATATTTAAAATACGCTCAATATAAATAATAATGCGTTCATTAACGAAATCAATCACACATTCCACGTGTCGGACTCTACTGGCATACAAATTGCATTAATATGGTTAATATATAGGATTAAAGAGGAGCTCACAGTTTATTGAATTACAAAATTTATCCCAGGCAGATAACCTAGCAATCGAATGATGATTATCAAATTATCTTGTATAAAATACATATATAATAAAGTTGATTATAATATGTTTTATACATATGCAATAAATGACTTGAAGTCTGTAGCGGAATTGTACAGTATGAATCACTATGCACAAACTCTTAAATCTCATTCTTATCAGTCGAGAGTATACAAAAATTAAGAGACAAAGTGATTGCTCACAAAAGTAATTTAATATTATATATATATATATAGTCAGAATAACTCATGTATATGTTTATATAAGTATTATATATAGATGTATATAAATACATGCACATATATCTGAATCAATAACATGGTCATATGTTATGAGGTAGTCTACTACCTGAGAGGCTAATCAAGGTGAAACAAAAAGCTTAAGTCAAATATATGTAGCTAAGGTAATTTATAGCAAATTATAAATCAAGTAGACACTGTATTTCTTTATATACAAATTCACAGCTTTTACGCCAGAACGAAAACAAAAATTGAGTCAGCAACGTAACTAATATAATACATTGTTTACGTTTGTCAATTCTGTGAATTGTTTTTCAAATATGTATGATTTGAACACAAGCTCGTGAAACTGCTTCGTAATACGAAACCGCTGATAATGGCATCATCGTCATAACAATTGTCAGCTGCCAGCGCGCAGAGATAAGCTTTCCATTCTCAGCTGAGCATTAGCACACAAATAGAAGCGTTTTCAGACAGTTTCAATTAAACATTCAAAAAGTTAACACGTACCGCTAATAATTGCCCGAAATGAAATTATTATTATTGTTCAGCCTGCTGGGCGTGCTGAGCATTGCAAATAGCAGTGCGAATCTCATTTGCTATTATGACTCAACTTCATTTCTGCGCCCGGGCTTGGCTAAGCTGGATACTCGCAGCTTGGAATTGGCGCTGCAGTTCTGCTCTCACCTGGTCTACGGCTATGTTGGACTCAAGCCCGGCACTCACGAGGTGTTTAGCTTAAATGTGGATCTCGATATGTTTCATTTCAGGGACATAACTCAGTTGCGTGCCAAATATCCGCAGCTGAAAGTGCTCTTGAGTGTGGGCGGAGATCGAGATGTGGATGAACAGCATCCCAACAAATATCTCGAATTGCTGGAAGCGAATCGCACTGAACAGCAGAACTTCATCGATAGCAGCATGCTGCTGTTGCGTAAAAATGGTTTCGATGGCCTGGATTTGGCATTTCAGTTCCCGAAAAATAAGCCAAGGAAAGTGCATGGGACTATTGGCACCTACTGGAAAAAGTTTAAGAAACTATTTACTGGAGACTTTGTCGTTGATCCGCTGGCGGCACAGCACAAGGATCAGTTTTCTGAACTGGCTAGAAACATTAAATCAGCCTATCAAAGTGCCAATTTACTGTTAACATTGACGGTGCTGCCCAACGTGAACTCCACTTGTAAGTTGTCAAACGTAGTTTAAAATAATAGCAATAACAAAGATTTGTCATCCTCACAGGGTATTTTGACGTGCCAAAGCTACATCCCTTGATGGACTTCATTAATCTGGCTGCCTTCGATTTCTACACGCCCATGCGGAATCCCGAAGAAGCTGACTATACTGCTCCAATCATGTTCCTCGACGAGCAACAGCGGCTGCCCCATCTCAACATTGACTTCCAGTTAAATTACTGGCTGCAGCATCGCTGCCCGCCTCAAAAGATCAACCTGGGCATCGCCACCTATGGACGAGCGTGGAAATTGTCAAAGGACTCGGGCCTGAGTGGGGCGCCAGTTGTGTCATGTACCATGGGAGTGGGTGATGGTGGGCTGCAGATTAACAGCACCGAGGGCTTGCTCAGCTGGCCAGAGATTTGCTCGAAGCTACCGCAAAATCAGACGGCCATCTATCGCGGTGCGAATGCACCGTTACGGAAAGTCACAGATCTTACGCAAAAATATGGAAACTATGCGCTACGTCCGGCCGATGAGCAGGGCGAACACGGCCTATGGGTGAGCTACGATGATCCCGACTTTGCGGGCATCAAGGCCGTATACGCCAAAAACAAGGGTCTCGGCGGCGTGGCCTTGTTCGATCTGAGCTACGACGACTTCCGTGGTCTTTGCACGGGCCAGAAGTTCCCGATTGTTCGCTCAGTAAAATATTTTCTAGGCTAGATTATTGTTTTTCTCTTAGCGAATTTCGTAATTTTAATTCTAATCAGCTAGCTTGATTCAATGCTTCGACTTGTGGCCTCGCCGCCTGAATCGGCTCAATAACTTTGATTACGCAATTAAACTATTCTAAGAGCATATGTAAAATAATAATAAAAATAAAACTTGTTCTTGACTCGACTTGCTCTCTCTCTCTCTCCCTCTCTCTCACTCTCCGTCCTCTCTCTCTATCTCTCTATACTTCTCAGCTCTGGCAGTAAACAAATATTGTGTGTGTTTCTCTCAATGGAGGAAGCTTTTGGTGTAGTCATCGTCTGTCGACAGCTTCATTTCTCGGTCGCCGTTTTCGGTTTCCATTTCAGTTTCAGTTCGATTTCATTGAAACATCGCTGCGGTCGTGCTATATTGTGTAATAAGTATTTTGCCAAGCACTGCTAAACATGAGGCAGTTATATTTACTTTCGTTTTTAACGGGCTACCTGGTAGCTGTGACAACGGCAGCATCGAACCTAGTGTGCTATTATGATTCATCCAGTTATACGCGCGAGGGTAAGGCTACGGAGAAGTTTAACAAAGCAATTTATATTTAATGGCTAACTAAATTTCCATTTCAATATCAATGTTTAACCATATTGTCAAGCTGCTTGACTTCAAATTCGAACCACAAATAATTTATAATATGAATAGAAGTGTTAACTTATTTTATTGGATATTATCACACTTTACCCCTTCACGGAAACATTTGCTTTGACTTTTTACGTGCTGCGCTGTTTATACGCAAATAAAAAGTATAAATAATATACAATTTCAAATAAATATTTGTCATTGCTACACTTAAAAAGTTTTAAAAGTTTGTAATATAGGCCTTAAACCATATACCATATTTTGTATCATTATATTTATTTTAGTTTATATTGTCTTTCAATACTTTTATATTTTTAATTATAATGTATGCATATATAATGTGTATATAAACTGAAAAACACTTCTGATTGTGTTCAGTAATGCTGATAAGCCCACACAAACTGCTCAAATATGAATACAGGGTGTGTCGGGAGCAAGCACACTTCCAGTTTCGCTTACGATAGAGATTATTTCAGAGGCATAACATCACTTTACATATAATATATTCGAATGTAGCATATTAATATATTACGAAGGGTATTTTTACTTAATTAACAAGCTAGACTGTAAACATATCGAGAGTCTGACAGTTGGTTGAGTCCAGAGGTCAATGGCTTATCAGCTGAGTCGCGAGAGCGACAGAGAGCTGAGCTCAAAAATACGCTCTCTCGCTAATGTAAAACATAAGCGTAAAGCGTAAAGCGTAAAACGTTGTTTAGGAAAATATTTAAAGGTAAACAATTGGGAACGAGGTTGACTGGCGACAAACTTACCGACAATAATATATATCAAATTGTAATCCAATCATGACAGTTATACAAAACACCACAACAGCCTACGCTTCTTACACTAAATCCACGCGCTCGCAATCCAAAGCTGAGCGTACAACTCGCCGCGAGACCAACGCGACAACTGCCCCAGCAACAATTCTCCGTTGGAGACCCAACAAGTGACTAACATTGTGACGCAGTTATGAACAGTGGAACAAAATTCAACAAATAAAACGAAAGTAGATTTATGAAGACTGAAAAGCGTGAAAAGCCAAGCCGCTGTTGAAAAACAATTGCTGAGAATATTAATTTAACCTGTTTCAAATATTCTTTTATTTTTCAAAGTGAACAAATGGACAGCATTTCTTTTAAAATCAATTTTATATAAATCTCACATATCATATAACCATGTTTATTTATTTTGTTCAACACATTTTTGTTTTCTCTTGGACAACTGTTTTACACTTTAAGTGAATAATGAACATCTCCAAGTTTGAATTCAACGAGCTTGTTGTTGTCGCTCGCTTGCTCTTAATTGAGTCCACAGTGGACAGTTATCCCACATATGGTGGACAATGGAATATTTGTATTGTTTTTCTGGCAAATGTCATTTTTGTTTGTACTCTACTTTATATTCATATTTTTTTATATTTATGCATATTATTTATATAAATTGCATCTGGATTAGTTCATCCAGCATGTGTAGAATGCCAACTCCCATTTGTTTTTGTCTTCGGTAGATTCTAATTAGTGGCTCTGTGATAGCTCGTTTCTATTGTAAAATGATACTATTTCAATTACAGCTTATGTAAACTAATTTGCACCTGATTACGAAATGAGTAGGTGAAACTATCGCAGGTTTGAATGCTACTGTGGGGAATACCCGATTATCACTCGATCTGTATTCAGATTTCAAGCTATTACTGGAGCTTTCAGGCTTTTACGATTCTATTTTACGATTTCCGAGTATTGTATAATTAAAGAAGAATAAAACCTTAATATACTAAAGCGTGAGCCCATATTTGTTATAAAATATTGAAAAAATATCGATTGATTGATTTCCCGTAGATCGAAAGTGAAAACTAATATTCGGTGTTGTCGGCCACGCCTCCTTAACACCCATTTATACAACAAACTTAAGTTATACGACCTTTCATATAATTAATTCCTATTTATTTCAAAATACATTCAATTATCATTGCAGGTTTGGGCAAGCTGTTGAATCCAGATCTGGAGATAGCCTTGCAGTTCTGTTCGCACTTGGTTTACGGATATCTGGGCATTCGTGGCGACAACTACCAAGCATATAGCTTGAATGAAAACTTGGACATCTATAAACATCAATTTTCGGAAGTAACAGCTTTCAAGCGAAAATATCCACACCTTAAAGTTCTACTCAGCGTGGGTGGTGATCGTGACATCGATCCGGAGCATCCAAACAAATACATTGAGCTTCTCGAAGGAGAGAAGCTGCGACAGATAGCCTTTATCCAATCGGCCTACTCGTTGGTTAAGAACTATGGCTTCGATGGCTTAGATCTAGCTTATCAGTTTCCCCGCAACAAGCCCCGAAAGGTGCACGGCGAGCTGGGTACGGTCTGGAAGAGTTTCAAGAAACTCTTCACTGGCGACTTCATAGTTGACGAAAATGCGGCCCTGCACAAAGAGCAGTTCACGGCTTTCGTGCGAGATGTGAAGAATTCCCTACGTAACGATGGATTCTTGCTCAGTTTGACGGTGCTTCCCAATGTCAACTCGACGTGTGAGTACTCAAAGTCATTTGTTAATTTGCCAAATGTGACGGTGCTTGAACATTCGTTATTTTACAGGGTACTTTGATATACCTGCATTGAACGGACTCGTCGACTTCGTCAATTTGGCTGCCTTTGATTTTCTAACACCTGCCCGTAACCCCGAGGAAGCGGATTATACAGCTCCACTATACGAACTGCCAGGCCAAAATCGTCTACCCCATTACAATGCCGACTTTCAAGTCAAATATTGGCTACAACAGGGATTCCCCGGCAGCAAACTCAATTTAGGTGTTGCTAGCTATGGAAATGCCTGGAAGCTGACTAGCGAATCTGGCCTGGAAGGTACACCTGTGGTGCCACACACCGAGGGAGCTGCCCCGGAAGGCTTGCAATCACAGAAGCCTGGGCTGCTCAGCTTCCCAGAGATCTGCTCCAAGCTCCCCAATCCACAAAATCAATATCTCAAGGGAAATGATTCGCCAGTGCGACGTGTGGGTGATCCATCGAAGCGCTATGGTATCTACGCCTATCGCGCCGTTGACGGAGCCGTAACTGAGGGTCTTTGGATCAGTTACGACGACCCCGAAGTAGCATCTAACAAAGCGGGCTATGTGCGTGCCAATAATTTGGGCGGCATAGCTCTATTCGACCTGAGCTACGATGATTTCCGTGGCCAGTGCAGCAATGACAGATACCCAATATTACGCTCCATAAAGTATCGCTTGTAAGCTGAACTGTATATACATACAAATACATATAAAAGCATTATCAAATAATAAACAGATGATGACTACTCTTCGCTTATAAGTTTCTTCTTGTTTTCACTTCAACTAAGACTCACTAACTAAATATTTCTATACATTTAAATAATAAACAAAATTATTGTTGGCTCTTATCGCGAAACTTTTTATTATATCTTATTATACTCATTCTCGAAAGTGAAATGAGTATATTCGATTTGTACATGTCCGTTTTGCAGTCCATGTGAGCGCAATTTTTCTTGGCGCTATTGAATATACATACGTATAAGCATTTGGGGGCTCATTTAAGAAGTAACAGATTTACACTAATACAAATTTTCGGATTAGAAAAAAAATTATTAACTGCGAGATATTATTCCGAAATTTGTATGAAAAAAAATAGGATCGAATAGGTCTTGAACCCTCGCTATCTAACAAGAGCCGCATCGATTAAACCATCGCCGTATAGCTTCACTTGGTCACCTAGTAGCTAGAGATTGGAAATCCAAAAATCAACGGCAATTCATAGAATATGCTAGAAGGCGCGCTTTAGTCTGTACGCATAGAATAAACGATGAACGTGTGCACCCGTATAGGAAAATCAAGCTGATCTGCTGATCAAGAATATACAAAAACCAAATTATACAGATAATTTAAAGACCCTAGCTACAAAAATTTAATAGATATATAGATATATAGATGATTTCTCAATTTTAATGGAATCAGGCCCTGATTTATGTTGCGCACAGTTTGACAGAGTTTGGACTGTGAATGAGTATTCTGCAATCGGTAACGGTGAAAAGCTTTCAGTTTGTGCAGCAAATATTATGCGTTTTTGTAAACTAGACGAACGGCGTGATCTCATTGAACTTAAAGCCCTAAATATATTTAATATTCCACTGAGCACACAACAAACAATTCCAGAGAAATTCGTTGAGAGTAAATGTGAAGGCTATTGTACGACTCAGTCGGTCCACGGCAAAGCAAGCTTTCATGCGATTTCCGTTGTCATTTGAATTTAGTTGCGTTTTGTGTCTCGTTTCGTACGGACGTATTTAATTGTGATCAGCTTCCCCATTTATCTCCAGCTCTGTAGCAATGCGCTCTCTGCTGCTCGGCCTGACGTTGACTGTGCTGCTCTCAGAGCTGCCGTCGCACACAGCAGCTGCTCCGTATCTGATTTGTTACTACGACTCGGCAGGTTATGAGCGACAAGGTATGTATACACACAACCACACACACACACACACACACACAGGCATATATATTTTACATTGTATTGTATCTTGCTCTCTATATAACACTATTTTTTGTTAAATTTCTCTCCCTCTGACTGTCCGCTCTCTGTTAGGCCTCGCTCAATTCTCATTAGCGGACTTGGAGCTGGCGCTGCAGTTTTGCACTCACGTGATATATGGCTATGCTGGCATCAACCCAGACACCTATGAGATGAAAAGTCTAAATCAGCCGCTCGATTTTGAGCGTCGTCACTTTGCTCAAATAACGGCACTTAAAGAGAAATATCCATACATTAAATTTCTATTAAGTGTAGGAGGTGATCGTGATTTGGAGCAAGAAGATAAATATGTTAAGCTACTAGAGGCTGGCACTCAGGCCCAGGCACGCTTCATCAACTCGGCTAGAGATATCATACGACGCTTCAACTTCGATGGTCTGGATCTCGCTTTCCAGCTGCCACGCAACAAGCCACGGAAGGTTCACTCAGAAGCCGGCATGGTATGGAAAAGCTTTAAGAAATTCTTTACCGGCGATTTCATAGTCGACCCCGATGCTGAGACCCATAAGACACAGATGACAAACCTGGTTAAGGATCTGAATACCGCACTTAAAGCGAACGATCTACTGCTAAGTCTTACGGTTCTACCCAATGTCAACTCCAGCTGTAAGTCTGTCCAAGTGTGTGCCCAACTTCTCCACTCATCTCATCTACTTTCGATCTACAGGGTATTTCGATGCACCTGTCATCGCCAATAATGTTGACTTCATCAACCTCGCCACATTCGACTTTCTGACGCCCGCCCGCAACCCAGAGGAGGCTGACTACTCTGCTCCACTCTACGAGGCATTCGGACAGAATCGCCTGCCCCATTACAATGTCAACTTCCAAATGGAGCACTGGCTGCTGCAACGTGTGCCGGCGAGCAAACTGAATATCGGTGTTGCCACTTACGGACGGGCCTGGAAGCTAACAATTGACTCTGGCAGCAGCGGGCAGCCGGTGCTGCTTGCTGATGGGCCGGCACATGCGGGGCCGCAAACCAAGACAGAGGGACTCTTAAACTGGGCTGAGATATGTCAACTGCTGCCAAATCCGAGCAATGTTAATGCCAATGGCCACGCGGCGCCCATCAAACGCGTCCCTGACCCCACAAAGCGTTATGGCAGCTACGCCTATCGCGCCGCCGATGAGAATGGCCTCTATGGACTGTGGGTCAGCTATGACGATCCGGAAACCGCCTCCAGCAAGGCGCAATATGTGCGCGCCAAGAATCTCGGTGGCATTGCTCTGTTCGACTTGACTCTGGACGATTTCCGAGGTCAGTGCACCGGGGATCGCTTCCCCATGCTGCGTGCTATCAAATATCGACTACTCTAATGCAAATGCGCACACATACAGACATGTATATGTGTATATATATATATATATATGTATATATAGTAGCCAAGTAGCCATTTTACCAAATGTTGGAATTGCAAATTGTGTCGCTGGCTGCCGCAGCTAGCCCTCTGTCAGTTCGCTTTACTAATTAATTACAAAGTTGTAAACTAAAATGCGCCGCAAATTATTTCATTAGCCTCTGGGCACAACTACTGCTTTTATGTTGTAGCATTGTATTTGGACTCGGTCTCCATGATCAGACATCGGCCGTCGGGTACCGGGGCTCGGGGATCTGGGTTAAATTGTCTTTCTGCGCTTTGGATTTCGATGGCACCCAGCAGTGAAACGCCTTTATCTTTTTCGCCTTGCTACGATCTTGCTTCAATGGTTTTTTCGTCGTTCCCTTTGGCTCAGCTTGCTATGCCGTTGAGATTTACAGAGATTTCGGCACATGCCGCGACTCTGCTTGCGCCGGCCAATTGTTATACCCTGCATCGAGTGCTTTAAGATGTGCATGATGTTTTGCGAGTGAATAGACACAACAGCTGGATGAATATTTGCCTCAGCTAGCCCTCACATGCATGGGTACAATAGGTATTTTAGGTACTCGATATATGAATTTCTTGTATAATTGGCAAAACGTTTTACAAGCCCTATATATACATACTCTGTACCGTAGCCGTACCCATACCGTACCCGTACTCGTTTGTACCCTGGCCAGCCTCAATAGGCCATTCCCTCGCTTTTCGCCTTCGTCTACTTACAGAGGCCCAAGTCCACAGTTGGACACCAGTTAATGCTATGCGATTGCTGATCGATGACTGGTGAACAATTTCAATTTCATCTGACAACGACACGAATATAAACAACTAAATTAAGTTATTGTTTCAGTGACAATAACAGTTAATGCATTGCACGAGAATGGGTTGGCATTAAATGATTATTATAGGCATGCGGCAGCTGAAGTAGCTTATACGACTATTAATAGTATATTATTTCAATCTTACAAGTACAAAGCCTATTTCCAAAATATTTACAATGTATAATGTAATATATTATATATTTTTTAATATTAATTCACACAACTGAAACTACTATTAATATGAATATAATAATAATAAGAAACTACTAAAAATATAAATATAACAGTGTCTATCACATGCGCTAATATATCATCAGTAATCAGTTCCTCGATGTCTCTAGTCAATTATTAAGTTTATCCCGGAATCGTGTTCTCATTTAGCGTAACGAAACTATAAAATATTCACAATTGGCGCAATGCCCTTGCAGAATGCAAAATATGCATTTAGTGGCAATTGATCGTGGCGGCGTCTATCCAGATCTTGATGAAGCTCACACACGCGCACACATAGGTCCTTGTTAGGGCTAAAAGTATCTTCACTATATGAGAAAAATTAAAAAAAAAAGCATACATACAGACACAGACACAGACACAAAACAAAACAGAGTCTACAAGTTGTAAACATGGCATTGTTTAGCAAAATCTGTGGCCAACTTTACAGTCTCAGATGCCAGGTTTCTGCTATATGCCATCGACAGAAAGATCGTGTCTGCTGCTCATAGCTTGACTCCAACTACCGATTTCCAACTGCTCCTGCCTCCCGACGTCCGACGCCCGATTACAGCCCCTTCGGTAGCTTGTCGCCTTATCTAATTAAGGCACATTGGCGGTAGTGGCGCAACAAGACCTCTGCATGATATTTGCTTTGCGATTATTGGCTGCCTGCGCCCCATGCGAATGACAAATATGTTGCCTATGCATGCTTCCCCATGCCGGCTGCTCGCCAAGCTCACCAAGCTGCTACTGCTGCGACTGCTGCTGCGGCTGCTGCCTTCTGTGGAAGGCTCACAGTCGCCAGCATGGGTATCTACCTCTTTAAATAAAGATATTTTCGCCCTCATTACGCTCTGTGTCCTTTTGTTTTGTGATTTTTTTTTTTTTCTGTTGTTGGCGGTGGCCGATGAAGTGTCGCTGATTGCGCGTTGTATTGTTTTGGTTAGTCGAAGATGTCCACGAGGGCGATAAGAAATGCATGCATGCATGTACGTTGCTTAAAGTCAGGATTTGGTCAATTTGCGAAAACTCAGATAGCACTGATATTATTAGCTGCAGCGCTGTCGCCATGCTTAGAGAACTTTTTGTATGCATTTTGTAGAAGCTTTTTTTACAAGTATCTTCAATTGAGTATAATTTATGGAAATAAAAGATTATTTTCTTTATTTTTTTAATCAAGATAGGTTAATATTTGTCCGTTAATTAATACAATCATCTGCTAATATACATTCGATATAAACTATATTTAAAATATATATTCACATACATATGATTATATTTATTATTATTATTTATTCTAACTTTATTTATAAATTCTGAATTCTTCCAAAACTAAACTCTCTCCTCCACAAACGAATTCATCGTATTTCTTGCTTATTGTTCAGGTTCATTCTTCTTAACTCAGTTGTTTTATTGCTTTGTTAATTTTAAATAAATCACGCGATTTTATGGACCTGTTGAGCCGAGACACATGTTTTTCGACTTCATATTTTGAAAAACCACCGTTTTAGCTGTCCAAAGTCATTTTCGTTCAATAGTCAGCGGGTTGTCACACAACATGATTTAAGCCTAGTGCCCAATGTTGATCCCTAACTACCAACTGGCGCCAGAGCACCAATGCTTTGCAGCACTCTCCTCGGAGCTCTTCAGTCGTTTTTATATTTTTAACACCCAGTTCGTGGCTGACGGGTCATTATTATTCGGAATATTCATTGTTGTTGTTGCTGTTGCCATTTAGAAAAGACTTGAATGAGAAATGAAAGAAGATTACATAAATTTAGTCGGAGGATCTTTATTGCAAAACTTATTTCTCATTCTTTAATAAAATTTTACATAGGTGCTCAGAGTTTAAAGAGTTTTTTGTCTCGATTAACTGAATATCTCTATATACATCATGTCTCTTAATCTTTGCCGGGCAATTGAAATAAAAAAGGACAAACAAATAATGATATACAAAGATTTCTTATTTTCTTGAATGATAATATCAGAAAATACTAAGCGCTGCCTAACAGCCTATTTTTAATTTTCGGTAGACAGCTTCTCTTCTCTAAGCTTTAGACATGTATGTTATTATTTAAATATTCATTCAGGTGCTATGTATAGATATTGTGGCTAATACCATTTTGTTACTTCAACACGCCAAATAAATTTGCCATAAATAGTAACCGAATTAATGTTGGTAAATGAAATATGCAAGAGAAAGAAAGAGAGAGAGAGAGAGCGTGAGTGAGATAGAGAAAGAAAAATTGTGTTAAAAACTAAAAGTTTTGTTTATTTTCATTCAGATTTTTCGCGCCAATTAAATTCAATTAGCTGTCGGCGGCGATGCATTTCTCTATGATGTGGAAAGCTAACCATGTAATACACAGTTCTAGAGTCGCCTTTTCCAACACGCACTCATTTCACCATCACAAATGTATGCTGTGTGTGTGTGTGTGTGTGCGTGTGTATGTGTATGCGTACCGCCATGTGTGTAACGACCATAATAAGTTGTAGCGCCACTGCGTCATAAAAGGTTATTTTAAACAAATAAACACGTGGAATTAATGAAGAAACGTGTGTGTGTGTGTGTGAGTGTGTGTGTGTGGCGTTTAATAGCTTGCGTATAAATAAACAAGTAAGAGTGCTCTGTGTCCAATAAGGCGAGATGCCCTATGCCCCTTGTCATGCCAAGTCAAAACTAATTGCGATTACAATAAAGAATTCCAATTGACATTAATGTATAATAATTAAATGCGAAAAATGTTTACATTTAAGATATAGAGGAAGATTTTATAATAAACATGTTTGCCTCTTATTGAAGTACTATACTAATAATACTTTTATAGTTCTTCGATATCGAACAAAATATGCTATATAAACAGTATCTAGGTAAGTTGAAGAACTCAAGTGGAGGCTGCTCATACCTGTTTATCTTAAAGAGATATCATTTGAAGAAAACCAATCGAAAACGATTTATATCAAAGTAATTTTGTAGATCTAAATTGCAATTGTATTAAATCAGGTGAGCTCTGAATCAAATTTACAAAATTAGCAATATATATATGTACGCATGTATGTGCACTTTAAAGTTGTAGACAAACAGAGTGAAACGATTTCCTTTGGTCTTGCGGTCACCAATGAATGAACGTAAACATTTTCAAACTTTTAATTGCCTCACTAAAAACGAAACAAAACATGTATGGATGGCTGGATAGATGGCTGGATGGATGGATGGATACAACGTGTGAAACTGTTGGAGATTAAGAGCGACTATCTGGCTGCAAGAGACTGGCAGACTGGCAGACTGACTGAGTGAAAGACTGGACTGAATGGGGGCTGGCTATAATGGATAAAGGAGGCAGACTGATGCTGATGACGACGCGCCTAAAACAAACAAATAAATGCCAAGTAAATGGCCAACAGCGACGCTGGCGGCACGCTTTGCCTGGTCTTAATTAAATCAAGGGAAAAAAACAATAAAAACTACACACATACACCCATCCATGCAACGGTGCGGGATCGGGATCGGGATCGGAATTGGTATCGAGTCTGCCAGAGATTTTATTACGCGCTGTGCGCCATGCAATAATTCAAAAAATACTTTGCAGTATATCATTATAATCAAAATGTTTTACAACGATGTCTACCACCCAGCGTGTGCAGCGTTTACGTTTTTGGGGTATCCGGCAACACTAACAGGACTTATGATTCCCCATTCAAAATGTTTAGATGCACAAATAAACAGTCGTTAAAATTCCCCTGCTATGCTCAGCTCATGGCATTTCCATTTCAATTGTAAACATCTATAAACTTAGTGTGCCAATATTTTTCAATGCGAGAGCTATCTATAAATTCGAATACCAAATGCCAGAAAAGAAATCAAAGCTGATATTGCATGGGGCGCGGCAAAATTAAAAATGAATGAATAGATTTATTATTATTTTATATTTATACTTTTATTGAAATAAAAATGTTACTTTATTATATTTGTACTTTTTTTAT